GATGATTACTTAATTGCTATAGTCTATAATATACTTAGCTTATTAAGTTTGTGAAAGATGAACTTATAGTGAAAAAATAATAGAATAAATACAGAGTAAATGTATTTTATTATCTAATGATCTTATTATAACATCTTTTCAGATTAATTTGTATTCAATATTTTCTTTATTATGTTATATCTTTAATTCATTTAGAATTATGTCAAGATTGAAAAGTACATATTCTTTTTTTAAGAAATTGGACTTAATAATAAATAATATGAAACAAATATTAATAATTTATTCAATTAAATTCAATTAAATCAAATATTTTCCCATAAATATATGTAGAATTTTAATGAAATGCTTATAAAATTGTATTAAACCTCTTAAGAATACATTAAGCTAAATCATGTATTCACAGGTAAATCCAGGTAAATCCAAACCAGAAATCAGACTATAATTGATATCAAAACACAATTCACACCTGTTGTTCTATACTAATTACCAAATGTGTGCAAAACGGGAACACACCAAATTTTATTATCTGTGTGTGTGGGTTTTTTTTTAAATGTGTGAAGCATTTCGATAACTTTCATATCACAACAAATGCATCACAAGAAATAAAGCAAGAAAACATTCTATCCTGTATTTTTTGAATATAAAGTTTTTTTTCTTACAATCTTATTTTTTAAATTCTTTTAATTACATTTTTAAAAAGATAAACATGTACTGAAAAAATCTAAAATTTGTCACTTTGGCTATTATTGTTTTTAAAGCTCTATAACCATTCAAACCTTATGATACTCTACAGAGGGTGAAAGTTATCGACCTCTGTCAATTAAAGAGTGCTCTACAGCTCGAGTCGTGAAGTAAGGAGTTGAAGCTTTGTCGCGGATTAGAATCCCACTGTGAGACGTGGGAACCGGTCCTTCAGATGAGATCGTATTAACCTTGGTTCCGTGTCGCAGTAGGTGCTGGCACGAAAAAGATCCCTCCCTGCTCAATTGCCCCGAGTACCGAGTATAGGAAAAAAGAATTGCAGCTGTTCATTTGCAAGTGGTGTCGTATCCATATTCATTAGTGAAAAATTCTCGAGAGGGACGATAAACAAAAAAAAAATTGTATTTGCATGTAAATCCCACGCAGAGGATTGCAAATCGTGAGGGACAATTACTGTAATAATCTTTTGTGCCTTAAAGCCTGTTTTCTATGCCAAGAAAGATAATCCATTTTCCTTACTTGGCAAAATTGGCTGAACAATGATAAAACTTGGAGAGCGTCATGCGGGTGGATTTGTGAAGAGCTGGGAATTGTGTCCTATACTCAGCACTTAGGGCCAATGAACAGTAAGGGATCTTTCTTCTAACAGCACCTACTGCGACACGGGACCTTTGTTTATACGATCTCATACAAAGGACCGCAAACAGAAGAAGATTTGTTGTCCCCTCGCGCTAAATCGCGAAATCGGGGGAAAATAAACTAACTGTAACTTCTGGGGAGATTCCCAGAAATATAAAACGCTTAATTTAAGTAGGCTCTGTAACAAAACGCTTTGAAAAAAAATATGTATTTTGATTTTTTTTCAAAGTGCGTTTCGACAGAGCGGTGTACATCCCAAAGACAATAGGTCTACAATTAAAACAAGAAATCTGTGAGCCAATGCTCACTAGTAATACCCCCTCTCTGATGTAAATAAGCACTATCATGTTAATATATATACACAAGTTCAATTATAGGCAGATGCACAGAAAAATTTGAAGTTGACATCAGATTCATATCAAAATTAATCCCACCATATGGCATGCCTCAACAAAGGGTTTAATAAAATTTCAAGCATCCGCTATGAATAGCTAATGAGAAAACTCGGACGAAAATTTGTTATGTGTGAAACAGACAGACGCACAGACAAACAGGAAGTTGATATCCGATTTGAAAAAAAAATATATCCCAAGATATGGCATACCTCAGAGAAGATTTTGTTAAAATTTCAAGCATCTACAATGAGTAGTTAATGAGAAAACTGTGACGAAAATTTGTTATGTATGAAACGGACAGACTCACAGACAAACAGGAAGTTGATATTCGATTTGAGAGAAAATGTATCCCACAATATGGCATGCCTCAGAGAAGATTGTATTAAAATTTCAAGCATATACGATGAGTAGTTGCTGAAAAAATTGCGACGAAAATTTGTGATGTATGAAACGGACAGGCGCACAGACAAACAGAAAGTTGATATCCGATTTGAGCGAAAATGTATCCCACCATATGGCATGCCTCAGATAAGATTGTGTTAAAATTTCAAGCATCTACGATGAGTAGTTGCTGAGAAAACTGACGAAAATTTGTTTCGGACGGACACACAGCTACACGGACAGACACACAAGGGTAAAACAGTATACTCCCCTCTCCTTCGGAGCGGGTGTTGCTAAAACGCGGAACGGAAAACGGAACGGAAAGCGGAACGGAACGGAAAATGGAAAATTTATGTGAAACGAATAACATAGATTCGATAAAATTCAGATATAGATCTAAAAGCATATCTAGTATTAATCTGAGCGTTGCATTCAAATTCTTTTTTTTTTTTTTTTAGAATTTTCAAAGCTCATTCATAAAAAAAAGATATTTCTTGTAATTGGCAGAAGGAAAAAAAGACTACTAGTATGTACATGCAAATATTTGTCAAAAACGTGGAACCGGAGGAGGGGGGGGGGGTGGGCTTAACCTCCCCCTTTTTTGCAAAAGTAACCATAATATAGGCAATGTACATTGGAGCCTAGGTTTAGCCTCCCTCCCCAAAATTTCAACATGCACGTCATTAGGCCAAGGAAGGTTAAGTGTTTGGAAAAAAAATTGGTACTGCAAGAAGTTCGCACCCTCCCCCCCCCCTCCCCCAACGAAATAAGATTTTCGTTTTTGGACAATGGACATATTTCCCCCCCTTTTTTTTGCTTGTCAAGTTTTTTTTTTTGTAATTTTTTTCTCTTCCACTTAGCCCCCCCCCTTTCAATTTGCTTTCGACGCCAATGTTTGTAAAGACGAAAATAGCTATGTCACTGTAGTTTTGACATTCGGATTATACAAGCAGTGGAGAATCCGTGAATCTTGAAAAGGGGGGGGGGGGGGTGTTTGAGATCGCGGTAGGAGCCCACAGTCACATTAAGAAATTAATTTATTAAATCTTATGTACATTTTGGACACAAAAAAGGGAGGGGTGGACCTTTTGTAACTTCTCAGACCTTTCCGATGAGCGGAAAAACAAACTAAAATGTTTACCGGGTCATTCATATACACCCCCCCCCCCAAAAAAGACACACACATATATACTGCATAAAAAAACAAACTTTAACTTTATTGAATGTTAAGGTGCTATACGTACTTTAAATCTACCACAGGAAAGTTTTCCAACTTTATCTTTCCAGAGTTTAAATATTTAGAAAGCGACTTTATTTTTTCAAAAAATATCTGACTGATTCCATATGTAGCGGTATGAGTTGTTTTTCGATTTAAAAATGTAGCGGTCGAAAATTTGAAAAAAATTAGCGGTAATGAGTTGAATTTTTTGGCGGCTATGTAGCGGTAATGTTGACCTCCCATTTTAGCAACCACTGTTACATACGAGGTGTTTATTCGAGTTTGCCGGCAAGGTTAGCCCTAAACGTAATCTTAATATGTTTTTCTCTTTCCATGATTCATCTAGGTATTAAATATTTGCCCCATCCCCCATCTTTTAAGTCTTTACCTTTTTACTACAGAAATGTTCATTGACACCCTCACAACTTTTGTTAATGTAATTAATGTATAAGTTGGTGTAAAAATAGAACTAAAAGATGGTGGAGTTGGAACTTCTCCCCACCTCCCCAGTCAAACAAAATTCTTCTTTGTTTTTTGTTTTTGTTTTTTTTTTTTTGCTTGTCAAATACTTTTCATGTAAGTTTACCCCCCCCCCCCCTTCAAATTCAATTCGACGTCACTGCTATGTCAGCGATTTTCGTGAATAAGAGACTGAGTATGACTAAATCAACTTGTATTTAATAGTGGGGGATTGAATATGTATAAGATATATTCTTATGATAAAGTTAGTGTATTTTTAGTAATTTAATCCAAAATAATATATTCCGTTTTCCGTTCTATTCCGCTTTCCGTTCCGTATTCCGTTCCGTTTTCCGTTCCGCGTTTTAGCAACACCCCTTCGGAGCGGGGGTAAAAAAATGTACTTCACACTTTTTAATCAAATGTTCGTGCAATTTAAAAAGATTGATTACATGTAGCAAAAGAGATGCTTTAATCAATCATAATACATCATTAAAATAATAATAATAAAAAGATATAATTATATAAAACAAGATGTGTTTGTGAAACACTGATGCCCCCGTTTGACAACATAAAGAAGTAAAGATTTAAATTTCCTAAATTCAAAATAAATATATCTGTACCCAAATTAGGGTCTGCTTACTGGAAATACAATTGTGAAATATGGAGGTCCTTCCAATATCTGTTCCCAACTTATGGCCATACAAGGTCAAGGTCAAAGGGTCAAAGTTCTTGGAATCCAGTGAAGGGTCTCTTTACAAGAAATACATATGTGAAGCGTGAAAGTTATAGCCCTTACCGTTCAAAAGTTATTGCCAAGGTTAAAGCTAAAGAACGGAAATCTCCAAGGTCAAAAGACCAAGGAAACATATGTTAAGTATAGTTGTCTAGGTATCTACTGTTCAAAAGATGAGACCAAAGTAAATGCTTGGAATTTTAATTTTGTGAACAAATGGGTAAAATCTCTATGGTCAAATTTTGTAGTACGCAAAGGTACAAGGAATACACATGTAAAATATGAAAGTCACAGCTCCACTAAATCAAAAGTTATGGGCAAGGTCAAAGTTTGGCGGACAAACAGTGAGCTCGAGACAGAGAGACAGACAGACGGACACGACAAAAACTATACACATGTATACCCCTGAAACTTCGTTTACGGGGGCATAAAAATTATGAATATCATTTAAAGTTATATGTAGATCATCTAACCAATGTTTTGAAAAAGATATATTAGGAAAGAATAACTTTGCCAGCAAATGCATATCCGTCATCATACCTATGACCGTAAACAATTAACCCGAACTTTGAGTTATTAGTTGTGGATACTTCCACGGGTCCGCTGTTAACTTCTATTAAACGAATACTGAAGGATGTGTCTAACACTGCAGAGCTTAGACGAACAGTTTTGTAATAATCAAAAGAGGAACCATTTATCTGAAGATCTTTGGCAAATTCGTTCGGAATGATCACACAGATGTAGTTATATGTATATCCATCCGTGACAACCACCTTATAGTAGTCAATATATTGATGCACACCAGGAATGACCGTCATGTACGGGTCGTTAAAACTGGCACCCATTCCGAAACCAGTTACCAATATGGCACCATTGGACTCTAAAATAGTTATTTCGTCTGATGTCACTTCCCTTTTTCTGAATTCTTTTTCCTTCATATACCACGTGGATGCCTCGTTCCCGATTGTGACGTCAATGGAAGTCTGAGTTTCACTGATCACTTGAATCAATGTCCCTGAATTACCATAGAACGGGGGAACGATGTATTTGTTATCGAATTCGGTAATTGGGGGTAGCTGAGTAACCATGTGACTACATGTACCGAACCTTAAGTACTGGCATCGATTTCCAGAGAATACGGCTATTGGTTTTGATGACTTAATAAATGTTCCTGTTAGGTCAGTAGTATGCCCTACCTGCAAAGTTTCATATTCATTTAAAGATGTTGTGAATACTTCCTCATTTCTGTATGTTCTTCCAAGTAGCGAAATGGAAGCATTGCTCTTCAACCTAAATTTGATTTTGACTTTCGTTTTCTCATGAATGGCTGCAACGGCAAATTGGCTGTAATAGTCTTTACTGCCAGAATAATACGGTTTTGTTGACGAAACAAGATATCTCGTCGCCAATTTCTCTGCTGGTATAATTAGAGTTCCATCGTTAGACGTTTTATAAAAACTATCGAAGATAGTTACGGTTGATAGTTCAGATGTCTGCACCAAAATGGCCTTGGTTTCAACTGTATAATATTCACACGTTAAATTGAAAGGAAGTTGGATGCTGGAATGGGAGGACACGTTCATAATTCTGTCCGTTGCTGATTTAATGCCGCCACTTAAATGAGAGGAAGTTGAGATATTAACGGACGTATTATTTTCTGTGGTGATGTAAACTGTCACGGGCCCTGATACCTGGTAGTGGTTTGCCATGAACAGGAGAAGGAATTCTTTTCCTCTGCTACCTGTAATGAATATCAGTATCGAAATCGGAACAAACAAAAAAATAAAGGATTTTAATTCTACTGAACAATTGACGAGAATTCTTTGTTGACGCCTGGATTGTTGATTGATTGTATGTTGTTTTAACGTCACTCTCGAGAATTTCTCTCTCATATGGAGACGTCATTACTTGCCACTTTAGAGCTACAAATCTTGTCCTATACTCGGCACTGAAGGCCATTAAGCAGGGATTGATCTTTTTCGTGCCAGCATATTATGCTACACGGGACCCTGGCTTTTACGGTCGCATCCGAAGGACCGATCTCCACGTCCCACAGTGGGATTCGAACCCGCGACTTAAGGAAAAGTTTGGGCCACGAGGATAACAGGTTTGGTGGAAATAACATTTAGGCAAGCTTACTGCTGATATTAGCTTCTCGTTGTCTCTTTTGATTTCCTTTTACAAAGTAGACTGATTGTCATTTAAAGGATTTACACAGAGGTATTCTACACCATTTAGTAAATTGAAACGTTGCGGGAAAAAATAGGTAACTGGAACTGAGAACTCCTTACGTCGCGGGTTATCCTTAAATATGTAGGACGAAGAGACCGGTCCCGACCTTCAGATGAGACTGTACGTATAAACCGAGGTCCCGTGTCACAGTATGTGCTGGCACGAAAAAGATTCTTCACAGCTTAATCGCTGCAAGTGCCGAACATGGGACAAAATTTGCAGCTTTCCATCGGCAACAGGTGTCGTCTCCACATGTCAAATTCTTGACAGGGACGTTAAACAACAAAGAAACAATTAAATCAATTAATCATTTCTGAGTTTTGATGGCCCGAAACCCTAATCGCACCTAAACTTTCAGAGATCCGTGTTGATTCTGCTCAAAGGTTATACTATTAAAATGGACTATTGAAATCGCTCATTGTTCATCATCTTTACGTTTCATGCATAAAGTGAAATTAAATAATTACCTTCAGATGAAACTGATGATGTTGAAGCAATGTTTGGTTTTCTTGCTGCTCCTGTGATGGGATATTTTCTTCTCCTTGTTGTGCGGTTTTTCGAATTCGGTCTTAGTGAAGCGTGCTTTGAATGTTGAGTCCCACCTACAAATTAGAAATTCTAAACCATGTACTTTATCCATGCAAAGGAAATTATTATCTAATAAAGTTGTTCAATATTGTTTTAAAAAAGAATACAGTAATTTAAAATGATAATGAAAGTTTGTAAAGGTAACTCTGGAGCCCGTTTTACAAAAGGACTTACGAAGTAAGACCAAATTTAATTCTTTGTATAACTTTGTAATAAACATTGTATAGAAAATTATTTTAAACCTTTTTAAAGGAATGTGGTATGATATTTTTACACATACATTTTCAAAGAGAAATATTAATTTGGCAAAATTTTACAACAATCTGGTGTTTTTTGATCTTAGTCGTACGTTCTTTTGTAAAACGGGCCCCTGAATATTAACATTCATAATAATCAGACCTGGGGTCAATTACTTTGAAATGTAATGCATGACATTACAATTACTTTGGATTTTATATCATTACAATTACAATTACCATTACTATCATATTAATAATATAATATTCAAGATTTGTTTATTATTCACATTATATTCTCATTTTTTATCTCTGTGATAACTCGTTGAAAATTAAGTGTATCGATTGCCTGATAGGTTAGCGAGAATAAGCTCATAATGTATTAACGCTTTTAACGAAGTGATTTTCACCCCCCCCCCCCCCCCCAGTTTTGACTTTCATGATTAACTTAAGGGATATAAAAAAATACATGTACGTTTATAAGAAATCAGTATTGCAGACTCTGTCAGTTCTGATTGTTTGACTGTACTCACAATGCAAAAGTTTCTCGTTCATTGCATCAAGTTTGTCTTGAATGGATCCCATTTTCATAGCTTGGTCTTTCACAAATTGTTCCAAAACATTTACTAGTACATTTTTCAGCAGATTCGTTTCATTGTTAGTAGAATCGTTAACTACTATGGATGAATATTCTGCATGGGAGCCTGATATTTGTATAACAAAAAGAAGAATCCAAGAACAAAATAATTTGCTCCTCTTCATTCTGGTGATATATATCAATCAGTCCAGGCAAAGCTAAAACAACACAGAATACTGGTGAACATAAAAGAAGTATGATCTTATACAAAATTCATTCTTTTATTAAATATTATAATTGCTCGTCGATGGATACTTAATATACAGTGTTAAATTTATTTTGCGATCTCTGATATTGTCTTAATGTTCCTGTCTACATTTATTAACGTTCACATTTTGGTTTAGAAATTAAACTGTTCGCAAACAGTATAAAAATATATGTGATATATATATAGAGGGATGTATATGCATTGAAAATCATAGGCATTACAAGGCATATATATGTAGTTCCAGCAATTCGAAAGAAAAAAAAATCCCCTTTCAATGTAAAATCAGTTGCACTAGTATGATTTTATTCTCCCCCCCCCCCCCTCGTCCCTTAAAGAAATGAAGACAAAGTCTTTACTCTTTTTTTAATGTATGGCGTAAGATAACTATGATAGGGGTAGAACAGTTTAATTTTGTAGTTAACATAAAAGAACAGTTTTGTAGTTAACATAATAGTTTACAAAAGATAATGATGTACAATTAGGTTATCTTTACAACAAAAAAAAAATAAAAAATAAAAAATAAAAAAAAAAAAAATTGGTTGCCCTCTCCCGACAAACTGGCTAAAAATAGCCCTACTCAAAACTTTTTCAACCTCGGAATTAAGAATTTTTTTCTTTTAAATCTTGAATTTTCCAATTCAGTCAACATGTATATTAAAATTTTCTGAACGAAAAAAAATCCCACCTAGCAACAAACCCAATTCCTTTTACTTTTAGTCAGGAGAAGGCAAGCAAACATTTTAAATATGTCATTAGTTGCATAAATTTGTGAATACATAAAAGGTGAAAAATTCTTACCAGTTTTTGTTTCATTAGCAATCACACTGCAAATGATCTTCACAACTCTCATTTTTTATTGCTTATAATTATATACATCCCCGTATTGCGAAATGCTCTTCATTATAAGTTTCTTTGAGGACCTGTCATTCATTTCCATTGAAGTTTTCTTTTACTAAGTAGGACACTTTTAAATTACAAGTGCACAAGTACATGTATATACTTACATGTAACATGTTTATAGCTGGCTCCTTCCCACTTTTTAAAATAAAGACAATATACATATGTATAATGAAATCTCAACTCTATTTGAAGAAGATGTAACATGCAAAGGATACATGTAACGATGTCTGGTACACACAAAAAGCAGAATAAAAATATAAGAAGCATTGTGCCAAGCAATGCTTTAATAAAAATAAATAATTGATTTATAACAAAAATCTTCTAAAAGTTCATCAAGGAAGTTATTACGATATAGATCTAATTTATGCTTTTTTATTTGTTTGTAGGTTGTTTAAAGGCCCTCTCGAAAACTTATATTGCCGTTGGAGAGTTTTAAACACTTTTGTCCTACACTTGGTACTCCAGGCCATTGAGCAGTTAGGGTTCTTTTTCGTGTCAGCACTTACTGTCACACGAGACCTCGGTATATACGGTCTCATCCGAAGTAAGTTAATAGTATACACGATCTCCACCCATATTTTGATTTTCAAGGGGCATTTTCCGTTAAGTTCTAAAATATTTATATGGAGAGAAATTACATTTTATCTTGGCGGTACCAAAAAAAGAACAAAAATCTATGCACATATTTAACATGATTTTTTGTTACTTTGATTGTTCTCAGTAAATTGCTTCTTTTCGCTCTAGCTTCATTCCGATTGGCATTAAGCAATGTCCTCGCTAATTGGACAACCTTTTCAAAGCCTTTTTGTAGATGGGCGGAATTTCAAATGAAACAAAGAAACAGAAAAAAAATTAGTTATAAATAGATTTTAAAAGTTTGCACCATGTATTCAGTAGGAAACGTTACTCCCACTGAGCCTGAACTATTATACATTTATTGACTCAGTTCGAAGGCAACATGCGTTTTGTCGGAACCAAGAACCACACTGTCTGACCGAGGCCGACAAAAAATAACCTCAATAAAAAGAAAAGTATTGAGAATTTATGTGTTTAATAGATATTATCATAATGATGTATATAGCATTTGATAATAAATCATCTCTTATGTCACATGTACCTTACAACAACATCGAACATATATACTAGTATATATACACTTAAATCTTGATTGTGTTGTAAATAAAATGTAACATAAACTAGATGCAAGTAAATGTAAATATCTGCTAGTCTTTCTTTATAAAGAGAGATAGAAAAAAAACCATATTGTTGCCAAACGCATGCATATACATCAGCAAACATGTATACCCAGTTTACAACTGATACATGTACAACCTTCTGGTTTGTATTTCTTACACTGTAATTGAAAACTTTACCAACAGTTTGCAAAAAAATATACAAAATGATATGGTATAAACTAGGCTATATGTTTGAGAAAATTTAATTGTTTAAAAATGAGAAAGAAAAACGACTACATGTAATGAAGCTACAATTGTCTTATGAAAGAAAAAGTATGTTATGACAGTACTTTATTTTGAATATTTATGGCATATACACTTATATGGGCAACATATCATTCCTTCACACAAGACGTTACATTAAATTATATTTCAGAAACAGTACTACTGAAATGGTACTTTTTGACTGTTACAAAAATGAAACGTCATCTAACGCACGAGTGATGCTGTCGCTCTTTGCGTCCAAATTTATTTATTAATGCTAATTACTTCAATTGCGATGTATCTACGGTTTTACATTTATATTTATGATTCAGATAACCAAAAAAAAAAACTTCTTCCGGTAGATTTTTGACGTCTTTAATGATTTTTGTTCAGTGGTGATTTTTTTTTACTTAGTAAACACATGTTAATAAAATTTAGAAATGTACACTTTAAGTGGCTAATAGTACTTGTCACGCATATGTTTTTGTCAAATTATGTATGATGAAAAATATCACTCAATGCTAGTACAGAAAAATTAAATTAATACAATATGCAAACTGGTACATGTACCCTATGACATTCCCTTTATATATGTATACACGAATACAATACCCTATCGCACTTTCAATAAAATAAACAATTATCTCAATCAAATCTTGATTAATCACAAATTTATAAAATTTTATCCATAATAAAAAAAAATGACAGTGGGAATGGGGTCGTTAAAATTGCGAAATTGAAGTTAATTACAGTTTTCAATAGTTAAGCAATATATGTTTTCTTATCAGCTTTGATGCTAACCATTGTATAGACAACCCTGTTAATGTATTCAATGGTAAACATGCAAGTCCAGATTAACTTTGTCCGTATTAGAAGTTATCGGGGATTGTTTGTCTCCGTTGTCTAAGTCCGTTTACCATTCTCTCATCTTTTACATGTATTTCCCGACCATGATTCCTAATCCTATCAAAAAGTCGCCTTTCTTTTCCTTTATGACGCCTTCCTGTAAAAAAAAAAAAACAATCAGACAGTTTCTATGAAATTATTCAATTTTTTTTTTCATGAAATAGCCATCAAAATACGAGTTTACTGTTCACCCTTACAGAACTGTTTTGTTTGCTGCTGGCTTGTAGCAAATTAGCCGCTAACTTGCAGCTAACAATTTTATTTGCAGGAAGAAAAAGTTAGTATTCGCAGATGTTCGCAGCTAGCTGCAAACTTCCTGCGAACATTGCAGCTTTTTGCTGCAAGCTTGCTGCAAACTAGCAGGAACTGGACTATTCGCAGGAATATTGCAAGAAACTTTGTCAATGTAAAACATTATTCGCAGGAAGCTTGCAGGAATCTTAAACTAGCTAAATTGCTCGCAGGAAGTTTGCGGGAATCTTAAACTAGCTGATATGCTCGCAGGAAGTTTGCGGGAATCTTAAATACACCTTCAATTGTTTGCAGGAAGGTTGCAGGAAACTTAAACATTAAAAATTTGTTTGCAGGAAGCTTGCAATTGTCACCAGTTTATCTGTTATTATTCAAGTAAAGCTTTCAGAATTTGTTATATTTAACATTCATCCTGATGTATGATTTCTGAGCAGGACAACAAACTTAAAAGATTTATAATTTATAATATTTCATTCATTCATATCCGAAAAATATGAGTA